CTGCACAGAGAGAGAGATCAGTTAGATTCGGGCTAGGGAACTGAGTTAACTAGAAAAGATGCAAACTCCTTACAGGTCGATGGAGAGCGGAGCAGATGGAGGGGAGATTGGATGAGCCCACAGAGATTGAGTTTGGCTGAGTGTCGGGTTTCGGCTTGAGAGCTCCAGAGGGTGGACAGGCAGGTGAGCAGCGGAGGACGGATCCAGGAGGACTGAGAAGAGAGCCGGCTTGGAACTGCAAGGCTTCTAGGGAACAAGGAAGACAAGGAGGTGAGCTTGAGCCAAGACACAGAGTTCACTTTAAGACGAGCTAGCTGGTAAGTTACCACTGCGTGGAAATTAACCGACTGGCGTCCGTCCCAGGAAATCCACTCCTCTAAATACTGCTCCCTGATTGCGTCCAATTGGAACCAGCTGGAGGCTCTTCTGGGCTGGAGACTCTGAGGAGGAAAGGTAAGAGAAACCCTAACACAGCTCAGCACACAATCCTGAGGGCCCAACAGTAATAGGCTAGACTCCTAAGCAAACACTTTTTGTCTTTATTTAAGTAATTATTTAGATTGGTACTTTTCTACTTTTACTGGAGTAAAAATATGATAGAGTAATGCTATGCTGGCTAATGTATGTTTTTTGTGTTTGTTGGGTTTATAGGGTTCTTAAATGCACAACTTGATGTTGGTTGCTGTTTGCTAGTGATGGATGCAGCTCATCAGTATTCAGGGTTTCCCAATCTCTGATGGACTTTGTGGGCACTTTGTTCTGCAGTAAGAAAAAGTAAGTGTGGAAATCTCAGGAATAAGTCTCGGTTTTCCTCCCTTTCCGTGATGGTAGCCTCCCTTTCAGGAAGGATTATATGTACTTAGTGTCCTCTCTCCAAATATTGTTTTAAAACTTTTTCTCGAGTTCTCAATGCAGTCAAACTCAACATTTGTCACCTCAGCAAAAAAGTTAACCCAGCACTGTTGGAGATGACGAAATGTCAAAAGGCTGAGTGATGGATGTCAGGGCAAATATTTGACTGTAGAAAATCGATATTTACCATCAGTCAGTGTCGATTAAGTTTGCTGCTGCATAACTTTGTGTTTTACCAGCAAAAATAACTTTCTGCTTTTTAGTATGAAAAAATATTTTATTTAGTTTTTTGAAAAAAACAAGAAAAAAACAGATACTCCACCAGTTAACTTAGACTTAGACAACTTTTACTGTCATTTTGAATACACAGCGTTATGGCAACTTGAAAGGGCTTTTGCAGAATCTGCTGGACCTGCATTGAATGCTGTAAGGGCAGCAGGGAGAACAGTCCATGGTGGGGGCGTGAGAGGTCATTGATAATATTGCAGGTTCGGGACAAGCAGCGCTGGGATGAAATGTCTTTAATGGAGGGAAGAGGAGCCCCAATGACCCTCTCTGCTGTTCTCACCACTCTCCTCACTTTCTCCCAGTCTGAGGAGCTGCAGCCTCCACAGCCCACAGTGAGACAGCTGGTCAGAACGCTCTCTATGGTGCTTCTTTAGAGCGTTGTGAGGATGGGTGGGGGCAGGTGGGCTCTCCTCATCCTCTGCAGGATGTACAAGCACTTTTGTCCCCTTTTGACCGGTGAGGTGAGATTGTCTGTGATGTGCACCCCCAGAAATCTGGTGCACTAAAGGTATAGTAGAGGATGTTCTTTTTCCGGGTGGATCATCAAAATAAGTTGTCCTCCTAAAGCCAAGCTTACACTGTGTGATTTTTCACCCTTTTCAGGGCGTTTTTCCAGCTGTGCGAGAATTTTTTGATCGGGCTGACTTTCAGCCTGATCGTACTTCTTGTAGTGTACAGGGGGTAACGAGGGGCGATCAGCCTCTAAAAACCACCTCCCAATCATGAAACGGGAAGTCGGGATAAAATCAAGCATGTTTGGTTTTCAGTCGGCCATCGTGGGCAAATTGCTCAGTGGGCATGCACAAGCAAGGATTCTTCTTCTTCCTCTCAGATGTAAACACAGCAGCATGGCAGGGGTGCGAGTAAAATGGAGTTCTTTCTGTAAAATTGAAGGACCGTAGTAGCCACATTTGTTCAGCCATGTCTTTGTCCAAATATGTCATCACCTTTTTGTTTTAGAGCTTTCAGCACACAAAATTGCACAAATTGCTGAAGCCGCACATTTTACTCTAGTGAGCTTCATATTCCTCTTCTATTTGTTCTTGGCTTCTGGATAGACGAGTCAGAATAGCTCCATCTCACTGCAGGGCTGAATCCAATGTGGTTTTTAGACGTACAGTGTGAGTAGGTAGATCGCATCAGAGCGTTGTACTGAACCTACATCGTGAGCTGTGAACTCAGACGAAACCCTGCTGTTTTGTCTACAGTGTGAGTTGGAGCTGCGTGCAACGATTGCAAAAAATTGCATCGGAATTTAAAGCGACACATCAAGTTAGAGCATCCGTGCTATCTTGGGAAATATCTGCTAGTGAATGATTAATGTCAGAAATAATTTTTGATACAGATCTTTTCAGCAGAACCTTAATGTACCTGTATGTTTCTGAAGTTCTGGGTAATTTGGCTAAAAAAAGGGCTTTGAATCCTGAGATTGTGAGTTCGATCCCCCACTCCCACAGGCTGCCACTCTGGCTCCCTGAGCAAGACCCTTGACCCCACACTGCTCCCTGGGCGCCGCACAATGGCAGACCACTGCTCCCCAAGGGGAAGGGTTAAATGCAGAGAAGTAATTTCCCTCTGGGATTATATAATGGGAGTATACAAAATAAAATAAAAAAAATAATAAAAAAAAAAAATCACATACAGTCCTTGCAGTCAAGGTATACAGTATTTTCCATTCTAATGGTTTGCGATGGTTCTAAATATGGTTGACCCTCCACCTGAAAACACAAATGGATTGTTAGTGTTTAGAGGTCAGTTTGGCCTAGCGCTAGGATGAGCTACACCCTCCCAGTAGGATAAAGGTTTCTCCTCACTCATTTGCAGGTTTTTGAAGCTATGTTGTGAGCTCTCTGGGAAGACAGTGAAAGTGGCCCAGATTCTCAACAACTCTTGATGGTTTCAGATACTTTGTGGAAACTGTTAAAAAATAACTTTGTAATTATTTTTCTAAATTTGGGGAAATCTTTAGCATTGCGAGCTTGTTTGACTTCCAGTTTACGGTGAGAGGATCGATCAGCTGTTTAACTTTAACTTCTGGGTGTGTTTTAGTTTCCATCTTATTTTTCAAAAGAGCTCATTTCAATATCAAACTTCTGCAAATATATTGGAACTTTTTTTAAAGTGGTTTTCTCCTTGTATGTAACCTTATGCTGTATATTGACCAGCAGGATTTAACCTTAAATTTAACCTTTAAATTGATTATAAATTAGCATTAAGATTATCAAGTTATGGCTGATAAGTAATTGAGTCAGTGGAGACACTTGGGGTGCTGGTTGTAAATGCCCACTAAGAACTGTTATCTGTGTTTCATCATCTGTTTGCACAAAACAAAGCTTTTATTTGAGTTGCTGGGCTTGATATTTAGGGAGGCTCTCAATTCAGCATCACTAGGGTCAGTGTTAAGGTTTGTTAAAGGCAAAGGCCAGCAGGTATTCAACATTTACCTCCATTTTCCTCTGAGCTGTCTGTGTTTGTGCTCCACTGGTCACACCATCAGGGCTGTCAGCTCCTAAATGCCAAATAAAACAGCTCGGTGCTTTTTAACTCCATAGCCCTTTCTCTCTCTCTGAATTCTACCTCGCCAAGGCTGTGCTCCTACCACATATTATCTCCTCGGGGATTACAGCACTCCAGGTTGGAGAGCCATCCTTCTTATTTCTCCCCTTTAGACCACTGTAATCCACCTGTCTTTCACAATAGGAGCTCACCAGTACCTACTTTAACGACTGTCTGTCAATATAAGGCCTTTAGGTATAAAAGTGAAGCATAAGAGGACCACATAGCTGGAGAAGCCTTTGCAATGGCTGCGCGAACCGTGCAACCACAACGGGCCTCGTGGTAATAGGGGTCCTTATTCCTGCAGTCTAAAAAAAAAATGTATTGTAAGAAATGTATTTGTTATATATAATTGTTTTGATTTCTGTCAAAGGCAAATATGAGATCTAAAAGTACATTCAAACGATAAAGCTGCTTTGTTTTCGTTTTTCTTTGGTATGCCATTATGTGTCCTGGAGGAAGCGAAAAGGGAGGAAGCCAACATGAAAAAACGCGACCGATTCCGCAAGAACATATCAGGTTATGAGAAAAAAAAACTATTAAAGAAAGAGGAAACTAATAAACCACTAAGAGGATCTTTAAAATTAATTCATCAGCCTTATCAGTGAGAGAGTGGCTGCACTAGAAAAAGATCTAGGAATAAGCCTACATTTCTTAAATTAAATGTATGTACCCTTAATTTGAGTAGCTAAATAAAATGATTAGCCAAAGAAATTAGATTTTTTTTTCGTAACAAGATAGGTAGATATTATGCATTTGAAATAAGAATTATTATTAAATAATTTTTTTCTTATTTTAAATGTCAATTGTATTGTTCCATTGGCAAAAGGGTCTCAATTTCCTCCTCAATTCAAGAACAAATGCACATTTATTTAAAAAAAAAAGACTAATTTAGTTTTATATTATTTCCAGTGTGAGCAGTTTCTTTGCATGAGGTGGAAGTCAGTTTCATATTCAGAGTTCAGAGGATGGTGTAAAGTTTTAATTAAAACAAACAGTGTTGTGTAAGAGATGTCAAGATACCAAAAATGAAGTGAGCTGACTTGATGTAAACCTGCTTGCTTCACTGTTTTTTTTTTTTTTGTTTTTTTTTTTTTTTAATCAATAGAAATACAGGTGAGTCTAAACAAAGTTGTATTATTCCTCAAACAGGGTTAAATTGGAATGTATCTTTCAGAACATTTCCCAGATGGTGCTGTGCTTTAATAATATTAAACCAGAGTTTTAACTTTTTTTTTTTGTTAAGAGGGGTTCACAAGATTCGGATTGGTTCTGTGGTGGCTGGGTTCAGCTCGGTTGGCACCATGCTGCTGCAGCCGGGTGTGAAGGCGGGCGGTCAGTGTTGGAGCCCTGTGTGCAGTGCTGGTGGTTCTAGATAGCAGACTGTGCTCCGCTGCTGTGCCTGGACAGGGAAGGCGGTAATCCGATTGTACTGAGCTGTCCAAGCACTGGATCCTTTCTTCTGTCCGGGTGGGAAACATTGCCCTTTAGATGTGGTTATTACCTGGTTCGGCTCATGGCTGCTGGCCGGTCGGGTTCGAGCTCTGGGTCCCCACCTGCTTTATCTGACTGTTATCCATCTCAGTTCTTGTTGTTCTGGAGCCTGGATCATAATGATATGGAAATCCGTCTGGAGCTGCGGCTATACTAACTGTACAGCTAGCTAGGATGTGTTGTTTTATGATATAAAATATTTCATAAAAAAATAAACAATGCTTTAAATCAGCTGTTTGCTATCAGGCTATTAATGCTATACAACAGAGAAAACAAGCCTTTGATACTTTGGTATATTGAATCCAACTGATGATGTGAGAGCGGAATTAATGATAAAAGAATCTGCCCTGAAGTCATCCTAAAATAGTTTGGTGTATCGGCTTGGACGCCACAGATTGTCCGGTTAATTTTTGTCTAATCCATTTACTTTCCGGATCGCAATTGCAATGATTAAACATTATTTTTTGCCGAATGAGTGAAGTAGTGGTTGTATACACCAGCCCAAAGACGTTTGACTGCACTGACGTATAGCTTTGACTGCTCTCCCCCGCTCTCCCCGGACTCGCAGATCCCTACAGGCGCCAAGCACATTTTAAAATTCTCTCGATTTTTAATTACCTGCTGTATTTTTAGCACGACTTAGACCAGCGACGTAGAGAAAAGAAAGAATAATCTGCTATCAAACATGATAAAACTGCTCTAGATGCACTCCTTTCTATTTGACCTTTAGGTTGCCATGTTTCCAGCTTGCTGTTTATGTCAGGCATGCAGTTTTAGTCTATTTGATGTTAACGTATTGTAGTGGGATAGTGTGTTTGGTATTGCTACATGTATGTCTAGTGCTAAACGTTAATTACACCATTTTTAAGTCATTGTTATATCCGTGTGGCTTTTTCACTTTACCTAATATTCTGGGTGGGTGTAGAACACAGAAAGAAAGGTTTCGACACAACCCTACAAGCAGGCTCAGACTGGTAATCTGTGATACCGGGCATTTGCCCGGTGGGCCGGTCCTAATTTCAGTGTGCGAGGGCCGGCCCTCCTTAAACCATACAGGCCCCAACACTTCCGGCTGAAGCTCCTACCTGTGACAGTAAATAACTCAAGGAGCTCAAGAAGTAATCCAATGTTAACTACTTAAATAATGCATGCAGTATATATAGCTCTCCCTTGTCATGCGCATCCTTAAGATGGTTGGCATATGGTGAGCCTGCGTACAAGTAGAATAAAAAAAAAATAAATTTAGCCAACATTTTCAATGCCTCTTTGCATCATCCAAGGGTGGCAGTAATTTCTTTCCATGGGTTGTTAATAATCAGTTGCTTGTTCATCTGCTCATTCAATTTTACGTATGTTAGAATCAAGTTGCCTCAATTTTTAACCTTGGTCTAACTATGCAATTTGGCATTGATATAACAAATCATTTTCACAAACTAAATCCAATGTTTACATAACAGTTTATATGAAACATTATATACATACACTGGTGACATGTTCATTCTAACCTAGATGAGAGAGTGTGTATATGATGAAAATCAGTGTTTCCTGGCAAGCATTTATTGTTTGAAAGTCTTACTTTATGCTACTTTTTTTTTAAAGTAGTGTGATATTAACACTTTAATTAGAAAAATTATCAGATGGGTTACAAAATGCTAATTAGAGCTTGTTTTGTTGGTGCATTGATGTTGAAAGAGTTATCAAAGCATTTGCTTTATTTGTTATAGCGTTCTGAACCCTAATTTTTCTGCAGTGTTAATCACAGTAATTGGTTGTTGTCTCAGTTGTGCCGAGACTCTTTTATTTTAGCACAAAGTTAGCTGCCTCCTCCCATATCTGTAATGCCAACAAGCAAAAAAAAGATTTAATTTCTACAATACAGTCGTAAATAGATGCAAAATGTACAAATGGTCTTCTCTGCCTGAAGAAAACAAGTTTAGACAATATAGAATCAGTAGGATAAGCGATTTCGGACTTCAAATCATTGTTAGTCTCCCCATTGTTTTATTTAACACTTTGTTTTTAACCTAAGATTTTTATAAAGTCTTTTATGTTCAATATAGTTGTGTTGCTTCTGCTGTCCCTGAGGGGCCAGTATTGGAACCAAAATTGCTCATTCTTTACATAAGTGAAATATGCAAGGTTTTTAACTTAATACAGTTCCTTTTGTTTCCAGACAATAAAAATATTTTCTGTTCCCTAACACACCAGAGATGAAGCTACAAAACTGATTTGAAAAAAGAGAATTGTCCCTAAATCTGATGAATTAGGTTCAACTTATTATTATGAAGACTAGAAATTATGAAGGAAATATAGATGTGAAAGTCATAATAGATGGGAAAAAGGTGTAAATACAAAATTCAATTAAATTCTTAGGTTTGGTTATTATACAAAATCTCCTGAAAACCTCACATCAAATCTATTCAGACTAAAGTATCTGGAAGCATCGCAATTTATATTTGAGTAAAACATTTTCTGAATTATAAAGCAGTGCACATGGTGTACTGTTCGCCGTTTTTACCATACCCTTACTGTAGCTACATATTTTCTAAAAGTCTGGTTTAGCACCTACAAAACATGAGGCAAACCACAATGCACACTTCACCTGAGACATCAGGATAATTCATAAGGCTGGCTATCATCATCACACTAATGCATTTTTCATTATTTCCTGCTGGCTTTATTTCCCTGATCTGGTAGAATTCCAAACTTCACTATCAATGTATAAAGCTAGAAATAAACAGCTACTAGACAGCATGAAGAATTTATTTATTGAGCAAAGTTGAGGGTATAATTACAGAGATAATCTAAAATTTTAAATCTTATATGCTCAGAGAAACATAAAAAAAAGAAAACATGACTTTCAATAAAAATTGTGTGAAAGTATGGAACAAATGTGGTGGGGAATGAAAGCAAGCATTCATGCAAAAGACTGCTTAGGAAAAGGCTCCAACTAGATTTCTCCCAGAGGACATGAGATGGAGGAAGTGCGATGAACATCATCTAAGTCAGTGTACATGAGTATATATATATATATATATATATATATATATATATATATATATATATATATATATATATATATATATATATATATATATATATATATTTATATATATATATATATATTTATTTTTATTTTTATTTTTTTTCCTGTAGTTGGGGTCGTGTGGGCTATGGGTAGGAATTGTATAAAGATGTTTTGCTAGGCCCATTAAAAAAATTAAATACGTATACATATGTTTATTTGTACATAAAATTATTTATCTGTCCACTATGAGCCCATACTAAATTGTAATAGTATGGGCTCATAAGAAAAGTGGAAATATTGTTGATGTTAAGGACAACTGATAGAGAAGAAATAACATCCAACATTATGTCTTATTTAACGGGTTTGTGTTAATTCCTTCTGGGAGCGAGTGTGTCTCACTCCCATGATAAATCATACATGATACACGCCTACTGACATAAGAAACTCACTGCACTCCGTGAACACTTTGCATCACAAATGAACCAGTTGCTGAGAGATGGGAACCACCATAAATGGCTAACCAAAGGGCGCACAATCCTGATCCTGAAGGACCCCTCAAAGGGTACAGTCCGATCCAACTATCAGGCCATAACCTGCTTCTCCACAACATGTCCAGCTCAGGATCATAGCGGCTAAGATAAGCGGGCACATGGATCAATACATGAGCACAGCTCAGAAGGGAATTGACAAAAATACCAGAGGTGCCAAACCCAACTCCGGGTAGATAGAACAGTCACTCAAGACTGCAGAACCCGGAACACTAACCTAAGCACTGCCTATATTGATTACAAGAAAGTCTATGACTCAATGCCACACACTTGGATCATTGAACACTTGAAGCTATACAACATCAGCAGGACTCTAAGAGCCTATATTGCAAACTCAAGAGGTTGTGGAAAACCACCCTTGAGGCCAGTAGCAAGATACTTTAAGTTACATCAAATGTGGCATATGATGCACTGTTCTCACTGCTGTTCTGCATAGGTCTGAACTCCCTTAGCCAAATAATCAACAAACTGGCTATGTTTATATATATATATATGTATATATACCCAGAGTGAAAATGTACCCATCAAATATCCAAATTTGCTAAAATACCTGTTTCCATCCAAGATCATTGCTCCTGCCCCTGAATGATCAGCATTTGCTCACCTTACCCCTTCATATTGCAGTGAATTCATACAGTAAGGGCTTTAAAAACAGAATATCTAAAGCTATTTGAATGAAACTATTTTCAATTTAAAAGCTGATGGCGTGGAGATAAACGTCTCTAACCTCTCAGCATCAGTGAGCTCCTATCATGCTGCTTTTAACAACTTAACTGTCTTCCTCCTCGGCTGAGAAAAAGAGAATAATCCATCTCCAGCTGTGTCAGGTTTTGCGACGTATTCACTTTCATGACTTTGAACAATGGGACTGTTTATAGTCCTGCTAAGAAAGAAGATGTGGCCTCTTTTCAGTTAGCTAGCATTACACTTAATGTCTACTCCAAACTATTTAGAAGGACTAAAAATGGAAAAATGCAATTGACTTCTCTAAACCTAAATTTATGGAAATGGTGATGTGTCCCTGGATGGAAGGTTTTCCTAAAATGTGTTTCCACTCCTTCAAAGCTTGATAAATGTCTGGTTAAACTAGTGATAATGGCAAAAATTATTAATTTTATTTTCTGACAAGAAAAGACAAACAATATACATTTTGTTTAAGCAATTAGATGGAAGGTGTATGTTTTGGCCTCTCTAACTGAGCTGATGTATTTTCAAACATTTAAAAATGCCTTTTTTTTCTTTTTGCTTTGCTTTTAAAGAGCAAAGCTTTGTTGCAATAGCTGCTGTAGAGCTCTTAAAATATCCTCCATGGTTTTAGTTTTATTATTTAGTTTTAATTTATTATTATTCAGTCTGACAAAGCTAGCTAAATGTGTCATACTGTGCACTTAAAAAGGAAAATATATGTGCTGTTCAATCTTCACAAGTAGTGTAATACATACTAGCTATTGAAGGCTTCAGGGTTGAGCAATGATTAGAGCTTTCCCCTGCAGCCAGAAGATCTTTGGTCGTTTTCCCCAAGGATGCTTGAATTCTATTTTGGCTCCCTGGACTTCACTATTGGCCCAGAAACATGACTATTAGGTCAATTGAGCCCTCTAAATCACCCTTTAATGCAAATGTTTGCATAGATAATTTTTTCTCCTTGTGATTGACTCTGCCTCTTTCCCCCTTGACCAGTCTAGATAAGTCAGCAAGCTTTAAGCCTGTATGTAAGTATTGTCAATTAGTTTTTTAACCCATGCAGTATAAGCCTGCTTTACAAAAAGGGCTCTAGATATGGTAAAAGCCTGTTATGATAAGCAACTTTTCAAGTAAAGGGACTCCAAAGTGCTTTAAAATACACATGGTCATTCACCCATTGTGGCAAGTTACATTGTAAACACAGCTGACCTAGGGCACACTGACAGAACCAAGGCTGCTGCACAAAGGCACCAACAGACCATCTGACCACCACCCAGAGGGTCTTGTTGTGCCTAGATAATCAAGTTAGTGTGTCTTGCACAACCACACAACAACAAAGACATCTAGAACTGGCAACGCTCCAGTTGCGGGATGAACTCCCTCTTAACTCGCCAAAGCCACCGCTTGCTAGATAGAAGAGTCCCAACAACTTTGATGTTTATACTTTATCTTTTTGTAGAACACTGGACAAGATATACCTGAAAACACATTTTTAATCAGTATATTTTGTTGATCTGGAGAAAGCTTGTGACAGTAATATGTATCCTTTTCGAGATAATCTTGAAATATATTGTTTTTACGCTCATATTGAGGTTAATTCAGTCCCTCTATGATTAAAGTGAGCTTATTTAAATTCTGCTAATAAATCTGAACTATTCCCAGGTAGTGTTGGAGTGCCATAATAGCCATTAGAGTTTCATTGACTGAATTTATAAGCACACACACTGTAGTTGTACTTATGTTGGTAGGGTCTCTATTATCAATCCATTCAGCAGTTTATCCAGATTCTGATCCTGTCATTAAACTGGAGCCTGAAGCTGGCAATGAAATCATTTGTAACTCTTGAAACTGCCAAAAGGAAGATTATAGGCTAGTTATCTGGCCCTTTGGTCTTAAACAGAAAGAAGGTTGTTTTATCATCATAATGCTACTACTCCATTGCTTCCTGAATGTAAGGTGCTCCTTTGTTTACTGTTTTTCTCTAATGGATGAACTGATCGATCTATGGGCATTTCTCAATTCACAAGAATGCAAGTGTGGACTTGTGTCCTGACAAGTATGTTCTTGACAGGAAGACAAGAAAGTATGGACTCGGGGAGTACTGGAGCATGTAGCATAAATGTTAGTCAATTGAAACAGAAGCGCACTTGTGACATCACCACATGCTCGGCTCTTCTGGAGCTGCATTTCCCCCCCATCAATTTCCCTGCCAACCAACTTTTCATAAGCTGTGGGTAGTAAGTACAGAATGGTTAAAAAACACTTTTATTTACCAAGCTTGTAAATTCACCCTCAGTAAGTAACTAAATGATACTCAGCAGAAGTTCAAACTGATTTGGGGCATTTGATAGGGATGCCTTTTAGATGCTTGTTTTAGACATGTCCCCTATGAATAGAAGCTAAATGGTACTGTAATATCAAGAATCCCTCCCTATCAAATGAAAGTGGCTGCAATGGGGGAAGAAGCCTATCAATCTATAGCTCCGCTTCTATATACTACCCTTTTGAAACCGAGCCGAGCACGGTAACCAAGATAACTGTTACGCAGAACTGAACTGGACCGACAGTTCCTAGATAACAAAGAGCGTGTGAGCAGACCGCATCATCTCCTTACAGTCAGCCTCCGTAATCATGAAATTACAGACATTGATAAAAAGTCTAACTTTCCTACCTTGCCACGCGATTTCCAGAGATGATTCTGCCTAGCAGTGTGATTAACCTCAACGTCTGTCATTGTTTCCTACATCTGTAAGCCCTGATTAGACTACAGTATCCTTTGTCGTGTCCACTTCCCAAAGAAAGACTCTGTCAAGTAAAGTCACCAACAACGAAAAATCCTATTATAACCAAACTTCCTGAATGTTACAGGCACCTCCATGTTGATTTGCTTGTTTACCTTTAGAGAGCAGTGGTACCATAGGAGGCGAGTAGTCGTGCTAGCATGTTGTGTTAATGGTCATAAAGAACCGACTTGGCACGGTTAACTGATTCAAACTTAGTCTGAACTCGGCAGGGATCGGTTTTCAGAGAGCAGTGTAAATGGGACTTATGTTAAAATTGTCGATTTGGTCTTTAAGCAACAGACGTTTAGATATACAAAGGTACTCACTGAACTTGTGTAGTGATCTTAGATAAAATGTTTATCCCACCATTTGGATTGTCTGATATACAGGGCAGCAGCAACTTAATTTTGTCTTAATTCAGGCAGGGACCAGTATGTCTATTTAGAGATGATAGTTTTAACAACTTTCTTGTTATACTCAACATACAAGAGGCAACATGTGGTGTTAATCAGTTCTAATGTTTTTAACAGTTGATATTATGTGAATAGGCCAATTAGAAGACAATAAGTATAATAATAAATAATTGAACTGATTTTACATTGGTGAAATTTACCTCAGCATTCAACCCGGTGTGGGATTAAGGGTCTTGCTCAGAGACCCAGATTGGCAGTCTGTGGGATAGGGTTTCAAACTCACAACCAGAGGATTCCAAGCTCTATGCCCCAACCACTAGGCCACCACTTCCCGCCGCTGATAATGATCAGGTTTGACGCTTGCATTCTGATGAGAAGGATGGTTTATTGTTCAATTTCCAGTTTGAATATTTCTGGGTTAAAATGTATGATCAAAGAGCAATCATCAAAACATGTTGAACTAAAAGCAAAGAATACCCTTTTTTCTTCTTAACACCTAACCTGGTGCACAGCCAATGAATACTGGTAACACGCTCTGTTTATTACTTGTTATCTCTGTTTCATCTTTGTTATCCTTGTTATTGTTTTACAGAGGCGTGTGACTTTGCACTGATTTCCAGTCTGCCACCATCATCCTTTAGGAGCTCCTCCCAGCTTTCCAGCAGCCATGCTCCAGGTTTCGCCAAGCTAAACAGGAGAGATGGTGAGAATCAACAATGATTTGATTATTCTGGTCTGTGTTCATTTTGGGTATTTATATCTTACATTGTGGGACCGTTTTCCAGAAATCATAGCACATGGAGGGGGTTACGTGTTAGGTATAGGACCAAGGAATGAATTGATTTTAGGTTGGGGTTTGGGTTAGATATGAACCCGTAATGGGTTATGTTTAGGTAAGGGTCATGGTTAGACTCTAGAAATGGTATAAAAATAAATGGAAGTCAACGTAATGTCCCCAAAAGGATAGAACAACACAATTTTGGTTGTGGAAGTATAATTTTGAGGTAGGATCCATCTGTTTCTAAGTGTGCTTCATACTGATCGCATTGGAATTGCTGAGTATTAAAGGTTGCCTCAGTGGTTATACTTGTGTTTCTGAGATGACCTACAGTATGAGGTGCAGAGGGGTGTGGGAAAAAATTGATTTGGCAATATATCGGGATTTTTGGCATCCCAATATCATATCCATCCTTACGGTTCTGATATCTATTTTTTTTTTAACACATTTTTCCCTACAACAATGGGGAATATGCACTACTTTCACACATCCGCTCTGGTAGATGGGGTCCTGGAGCCCTTTTGCTGTACATTTAGCAAAGGCAATCACAGTAGCAGACGCTGAGTGACTTAAATCCCAAACAACATGGCTACCAAAAAGACACAATAACTGAATGGTGAATATCTTCTACTGAATATAAAAAGCAATTGCTTTTTGATCTCTATATTTAATTTTGATATTAGCTGGGTAGTATACCGTAATATATATTGATATTGCAATTTGTGACAATATTGTGTCATGACCCAAGTATCGCAATGCATGTCATTTCACAACACCCTTGCCAATACTCACCCCTAGTAGTGCATATAGTATGTAATATTGCCAAAATTATCTTTACCCATCTAAATTAGGAATGCTCGGACAATTCGACAATTTGACCACCAAAAATGTTCCACCGAAGCTGATCAAAAAGTGCATTTTCAATATTCCCCTTCAAAAAGGTGACAACAAAGCCGAAACATCCAGCATGGGGAAATAAGATCACAAGCAAAAAGCACTGCCAGTGTGCAGAAATGTTGTCAAGCTTGCAAAATAAAGCACTGAAGCAAGCATAGTGTCCTGATGGGTTAACGGAGGCAAGCCCAAGATGCAGAATACACACGGAGGAGGCAGGGGAAAAGTTCAAAATGTTTAATAAAGTCCAAAATCACAAAGTTTAACACTGGGACTGAAATGGGTCTGGGGCTGGTTCACTGGAGTCTGTGCAGGGAGCGGGGGATGGCTGGATAACAGAGAACAACAGGGGATAGTCCACATGGGAACCTCTAGGGAAACTCCTCAAAGAGGTCTTCAAGTTCAAACCACGTAGGGATCCTCGGGTTGGCTCAACAGGGCGGGTTAGCAGGTTGGGCTTTCCAAGAGCTTCTGACTTGAGACTGGTTTCCTGTGACACAGCTCTCCCAGAGCTGCAGACCAGAGACAGGGTTCCAGTGAGGGTGCTCTCCCAGAGCTTCACAAGGAGACAGGAGGTTAAGCTCATCCAGAGCTTTCACGAAGAGACAGGAGCTTCACCAGGAGACAGGAGGTTAAGCTCATCCAGAACTTCACAAGGAGACAGGAGGTTAAGCTCATCCAGAGCTTTCACGAAGAGACAGGAGCTTAAGCTCATCCAGAGCTTCACGAGGAGACAGGATTCCAACTAAGATCAACACTGCGGCGTGGGATCAAGGTCAGGCAGGAGCTTATAAAGGAGAGGTCTTCTAATGAGAGGATTAGGAACAGGTGTGCAGGTGTGCAAGTTCCAGCTCCAACTCCAAACCTAAGGGAAAAACAAAGAGAGCAGAAGAGGATCCTCGGCGCCCTCTGGTGGGCAAGCCTGAGGATCCCAACAGAGCCCCCCCCCTCAAGGGCGGATTCCAGACGCCCCCTGAAAAAAAAGTCCAAAAAACAACCCACTCAGGGTGGGCGGAGGGGGCACTAGGGTGAGGAGGGCCAGAGACAACAGAAAATAGAGTCCAGAAAACAAAAACAACCCACCCAGGGCGGGCGGAGGGGGCACAAGGGCGAGGAGGGCCAGAACTAACAGAAAAAAAGGTCCAACAAACAAAAAACAACCCACCCAGGGTGGGTGAAAGGGGAAACAGGCCAGGAGGGCAGAAAACAAAAACAGAGTCCAGAACAAAAAACGATCCACTTATGGTGGACGACAGCAAAAGAAAACCCAAAAACTTTCTTGGGCACAGTCTCTGGTGGCCGGCCGAGGGACCGGCAGCGGGACAGATTCTCAGGTGACCGGCCGAGGGACCGGCAGCGGGACAGATTCTCAGGTGACCGGCCGAGGGACCGGCAGCAGGACACAGTCCCAGGTGGGCTGCCGTGGGGCCGGCAGCAGGACACCGTCTCAGGTGGCCGGCCAAAGTACCGGCAGCAGGACAAAGTCTCAGGTGGCCTGCCGTGGGGCCGGCAGCAGGACACAGTCTCAGGTGGCCTGCCGTGGGGCCGGCTGCAGGACACAGTCTCAGGTGGCCTGCCGTGGGGCCGGCTGCAGGACACAGTCTCAGGTGGCCTGCCGTGGGGCCGGCTGCAGGACACAGTCTCAGGTGGCCTGCCGTGGGGCCGGCAGCAGGACACAGTCTCAGGTGACCCGCCGTGGGGCCGACGGCGGAGGCGTAGTTGCTGCTCAGGAGGTCGACCGTTGTGATGAAGGAGGAGCAGCGTCTTAGGGGGACCACCGCCGAGCCGGAGACAAGGTTGAGGTTCAGGAGGCCAGCAGCGGGGTCGAAGGCGACGCTGACACTCTGGGGGTCTGCCACGGGGTCGACGGTGAAGATGATGCTCCGGGGGTCTGCCGCGGGGCCGGAGGCGAGGCTGACGCTCTGGAGGTCTGCCGCGGGGCCGGAGGCGAAGCAGCTTATCAGGAGGATGACGCCCAAGCTTCAGCACGGGGTACCCCGTCCCCTCCTCGGCAGCTCAGGAACAGTCTCAGAAACAGCCGCCGACTGCGGCTCAGGAGGAGGCTCTGAGGAGAACGCCGACTGCGGCTCTGGTGGAGGCCCTAGGGAGACCGTCGAGTGCGGCTCTGAAGGAGGCTCTGGGGAGACCATCGAGTGCGGCTCTGGAGCAAGCTCTGGGAAGACCATCAAGTGCGGCTCTGGAGGAGGCTCTGAAAAGGCCGCCGACTGCGGCTCTGGAGGAGGCTCTGAAGAGGCCGCCGACTGCGGCTCTGGAGGAGGCTCTGAAGAGGCCGCCGACTGCGGTTCAGGAGCAGGGGAGCCCGCCGATTGCGGCTCCCGATCAGGAACAGGGGAGCCCGCCGATTGCGGCTACCGATCAGGAACAGGGGAGCCCGCCGATTGCGGCTCCCGATCAGGAACAGGGGAGCCCGCCGATTGCGGCTCCCGGTCTGGAACAGGGGAGCCCGCCGATTGCGGCTCCCGGTCTGGAACAGGGGAGCCCGCCGATTGCGGCTCCCGGTCAGGAACAGGGGAGCCCGCCGATTGCGGCTCCCAATCAGGGACAGGGCAGACCAACGACAGTGGCTCCAACTCAGGAACATGTGAACCCACCGACCGTGGATCCGTCTCAGGAGCAGGTGACACCACCGACTGTGGTTCACCCTCAGGAGCAGGAGGGACCACTGATTGCGGTACAGCCTCAGGAGCAGGTGGGACCACCGACTGTGGTTCCACCTCTGGAAACTAAGGGATCACCCATGGAGGCTCAAGTTCAGTCTCTGAGGTGGCTTGGGGCGTTGGTGGAGGGTCCCTGGTGATTAGAGGCCTTCGCTGAGGGACTCTTGGAGGCACACTTTCACCAACACAAAATTCTGAAGTTCTCTTAAATGTATGCTCAAGGGTCTCTGGACAGCACAGTGTAGGCTCAGGGGTCTCTGGACGGCACAGGGCTAACTCAGAGGTCTCTGGACGACACGGGGCTAACTCAGGGGTCTCTGGACGGCACATGGCTAACTCAGGGGTCACTGGACGGCACAGGGCTAACTCAGGGGTCTCTAGCCGGCTCAGAGCGTGCTTTGAGCCAGAAGAACATTCAGCTACGGACCTAATACCCTGTTTGAAATTCAGAAGGTAACTGGAAACGGAGAAACTAGAGGACTGGCTAAAGGTTCTTTCTAATTCTCGGTTGAATCTCTCATATGTGTGGTTCTTTCTGGTTTTTAGCGGAAATTTTGTCTCTGCCCATTCAAGGGCCTCATCAGACAGAAAAGAAACTACAAAAGCAATCTTATCCTTATCATTAAGAAAGCTAGTAGAATGAAAACTGAAAAATAACCGACACTGAAATAGAAATTCCCTTAGCTTACGTGGGTTGCCAGAAAATCTCTCAGGAAGTGAAGGACCAGGTGACGAAAACGACGGACTGAGCTCAGAATAGAAAGGAGGGTTATCATCTTGACTCAGGGGTGACGTGCGGAATTCCGGAAGTGACGAAACCGGAACCGGAAGTTGAACTGGCGCCATCTTGTGATTCCCACGAAGCCTGTGGGATCTTGAAACGTGTGTTATCTTAAAGTAAAACTGGGATTTTAACTCACGGAGGGACTGTGTGTGATCAGGAGTCAGAGCGTCCAGTTTCTCAGTTCTACGACGGAGGTGATCTGCTGGGCTTAGTGTGGCCGCAGTGTTCTGTCATGATGGGTTAACGGAGGCAAGCCCAAGATGCAGAACACACACGGAGGAGGCAGGGGAAAAGTTCAAAATGTTTAATAAAGTCCAAAATCACAAAGTTTAACACTGGGACTGAAATGGGTCTGGGGCTGGTTCACTGGAGTCTGTGCAGGGAGCGGGGGATGGCTGGATAACAGAGAACAACAGGGGATAGTCCACATGGGAACCTCTAGGGAAACTCCTCAAAGAAGTCTTCAAGTTCAAACCACGTAGGGATCCTCGGGTTGGCTCAACAGGGCGGGTTAGCAGGTTGGGCTTTCCAAGAGCTTCTGACTTGAGACTGGTTTCCTTTGACACAGC